TCTCACATTCAAGTAGTTGAACTTTCAAGGCACACAATGATACCAACATTGAAACGAACAGAAATCTTGAAAATGGAAAAAATGCGATGTAAACGAAGGTTTCCATAATTTCTTTATCAGAACATTTAGTTGAGGCCTGAAAATCTCTTGACCTGTTAAGTGTTGCTTTGCGGTGGTTGTGGTCGCATGTCTCATTTAAAATATCGCATGGCACATCCATGTATCCCATGTACGGCCGTGTTTATTTAAACAAGCTTATTGATCTTAAAGCTTCTAGTGTCTTGACCCGGATTACGTTGTTTACGAGTGTACCTTGCAAGCAAGATCAGTAAAATCTCGTTTTCTCCGAACTCACAAATCCTCTACATACAGGTAAGAAAAAGCTATTGTGTACCCAAGGAGTCAATCGAATGGCTCAAAAATTTGCCCACGGCCAGGACAGATGTCGGGTAAGCAAACAGTGTCTCAAAATTTTTGGATTTGCTCTGGTCCGTCTTTTATAGCCAAATACAACTATGAGAGGGAAGAAAAATTGTTTGCCAATTTTTGACAGGGTACAGTTTCAGGGGGAGGAGGAATTTGAAAAATCTCAGACAAATTTTGGTAGCTTAGGATCTGCGCGTTCTGCTGATATAAGTCAGATTTTGATACCTAAAACGCAAGGGTACAAACTAGCTTTTGAAGGTGGTACACTCATTTAAGCAATAATTTGCCTGGAAAATATAATATAATTATGGTTGGAATCACCATGTTTTTGTGCATCGAATGATGTATAGTGTAATCTGATTCCATCAATAGTTTGATTTTTAGGGAGAGAAAACCAAATATCGTGTCAAAAACGTTTACCGTAACCTTAATAGGAAAACAGCGTATCCTAAAACGTTTCAAAAAACAGAATCATTCACTTCTTTTGCGACCCCTTTTTCGAGGTTAGAAGATTTTCTTCTCTTCTTCCGGCATAAAAAATCAATAAACTGGATTAACAAATAAATCAGCTCAAATACAGAAAAAATTGATGCACCAATCCATATTCCCATCTGGCCTCCGATTTCTCCAACAAACCTTTCAGTAGTATACATTTTAAATTCAGTTATTTTCTCATACTCCATACCCCCAAAAAAGACGCTGATTACAACGATGTGCTTATGGATCCTTGGGTCCTCTGATGTCATCTTTGCAGTTGATGAATACTTGCGAAATTTCGTTTCTGTACACGGTAGCTCGCAGTTGCAGGAGGCGTAATTCGAATCAAGGAGCTTTTCAGTAATTGTCAAAGAGCATGAAGCTTCGCTTTGATTTCTTGATAGTTGCTTTCTCATCGCTTTTGGTAAAAGGTGGCTATGCCAAGCGAATATATAAGAACATCTTTGTGAAACTTGGCTAAGGAGGCAAGACAATCTGCAGTTGCTAACTGTATAATCACCTTTGAAAAGCAGCTTCATGTTTTCGCCATTTGTGCATTTTGATGGGTAAGGAGGTTTAAGCCTCGTAATCTCGGTCTTTTTCATTTCAATAAAAGTCTGATGGCCGATTGGAGCAAGAATTCTCCCAGAATCCAGAGACGGAAATTGTTTGTGATCTTGTATGAGAACATGAACGGCGTCTGTTGGAGAGGTATTAAATTGTACTCCATTTGATAAATTTACAAATAAAATAATATCGAAGGTGAACCCAAGATTAACCGATTTTTGTATGGCAGTTCCATTCGCATTTACTTTGTAGCAATAACCTTGGTTGGCCACAAGTACTCTTTCGATGGCAATGTCATGTTTGTCAGGGTTGATAATAAACATGGTGTTGTTATCATATGCTATATCTTCTAGAGAGGAAGCTTTCCATAATATGTCATCCATGTTGTCTATACGTCCAAGCCAGTTATATTTAACGGTTATGTTTTTCTCTTTTGCGAATTTTGTGACTTTAGCTTTACTAAAGCTTGGCCCGCATACTGTTACAGCTGGAATCTTCATTTCTGATACCCTGACAGTTTCTTCTTTTGTTAAAGACGGGCTTTTGAAGTAGCCCCGAATTGTTGGCATCACTGTCAAAATTACAAGTGATACGAAGAAAAGAATTAGCAACAACCAGATGCATCTCATTGCTTTTGATTTGGTCGAAAGCAATCTTCCGAATCCATGCATGGTCAAACTCGCTGCGGATTCTTTCAAGTCAATTTCTGTTCTTTGATCCATCTTTAGATCTTTGAAAAATCTGGAATTTTATTACTTCTGTTTTATCAAGACTGTGTAAATCTTGTATTTTCTTCTTCGACACTTCTTTTGTATTCTGTGTGTTGTTTCTCATTAGCACCCGGTGTTTTTATGGTTTACAGGAGCAGGCTGTACTTATTGATTTGATATCAATATCTGTTGATACCATTTTGCCACCGGTATAATCATTTCTATTGAAGCTGGAGTACTAACGCATATAATAGCTAATTGGTTTACCCGCTTTAACGGATTACGCTGCTCATCTCAATGGCAACACAGCCATTTGATTCAGATAATCCGGAATTCAAGTTGTTTCTGATTGGTTTAAAGCGTTTAATTGGCACTCAAGTTCAACGGTGCGTTAATATCACTCCGGTAAAGAAATGAGTACAATAGGAAACAGATTGCCTTTAACCATAGTCAATAGAAAAACCAAAAGAGTTTTTTCTATTGACTATACTTTAAAGGCAATCTGTCCCCTTCGTGATGCTCAGGGAAATTACGCTATTGTGGTTTCTTCATTCTGATTGTTTACTTGTGCATAGAATCGATGATGCATGAATATCGTGGCGATGAAAAGAGATTCTGAGGACAATGGGGGACATACTGCCTTTAACGTTATCAAGGCTCTTCCAAAGATAAATTTACGCAGATCGACCTCATAAACAATTCTTACTATTGAATGGAATAAACAGCGTGCACACGCTTTTGACACGTACGTGTAATGTGTATATCCTTAGTATTTTCTTAAGACCCCACGCAGTTACAATGTTATATTGTAGTGTAATACGTGCCTATATACGCGGCAGCACGTAGAGTAATAATCAAAATGATGATTTAATATTTGATTTAGAACAGTACGAAATTACATGTTATGATTCTCTATACCAAATAAGGGCATACCCTTGGTAAATATCAATCGACCAGTCACTGTGAATACATATGTTGTAACACGAAATTAGTTAGGGAGTTGGTTGGAGTTAGAGTTGAAAGTAAGAAATGTGATTGGTGGATATGTAAAATGAAATGGTTGTGGATTTAATACTAAACGATTGTGATCTTTCTTTGGTTCTGCATCTTAAACTTCGTCCATCATTAAATTTTGTGATAGAGGCACCGCTAGAAATAATGGTCCATTACGTTACGTCACAGAATATGTCGAAAAACATCTTGTTCACGGTGGTGTATTATATACAAGAATAAAAAATTTATGATACCGGCCATAAAGCCCTGGCAAAACGACTAAACATTTCATTCAACTTTTGTTCAGTGAAAAGTTTAGTGGGAAGTTTATTCGTTTTGCCTCCGTGTTTAATGCTGTTCAGTCGTGTTGAAGCCAGCTTCTATCTCCTCATTTGTAGCGTTGTGTTGTAATTATCGTTTATAGTAATTTGTAAGTAGCTTAAGTAGCTTGATTATACCTCATTCGCACTGACGCGGCTGAGCCAGCTTTGTCTAAACCAGGTTAGATTTAACCATCAAATGCATCCAATCAAACGCACAATCAATGATCTGGTTTGGTTTGGGCTGGTTTGACTTCTCGGTGTGATTGGGGTACAAGCAAGCTGTATCGTAGGTGTTAGTCTAGTTCCATGTCTTTATGTTATAGCCGTGGTGTAGTAATTTATTTTTGCTCCCATGGCATCGTAAGTAGCGCCGTTACTACCAAGCCCAGATTGAATTGCGCAAAATGAACCATATGACGTTAAGGTTACGGTAAACGTTTTCTGGATGAAAACATCCATTTTTCGATTATCTCACATCCAAGTAGCTGAACTTTCAAGGCACACAATGATACCAAAATTGAAACTAACAGAAATCTTGAAAATGGAAAAAATGCCATGTAAACGAAGGATTCCATAATTTCTTTATCAGAACTTTGAGTTGAGGCCTGAAAATCTCTTGACCTGTTAAGCCGATTATCGTTGCTTTGCGGTGGTTGTGGTCGCATGTCTCATTTACAATATCGCATGGCACATCTATGTATCCCATGTACGGCCGTGTTTATTTAAACAAGCTTATTGATCTTAAAGCTTCTAGTGTCTTGACCCGGATTACGTTGTTTACGAGTGTACCTTGCAAGCAAGATCAGTAAAATCTCGTTTTCTCCGAACTCACAAATCCTCTACATACAGGTAAGAAAAAGCTATTGTGTATCCAAGGAGTCAAGCGAATGGCTCAAAAATTTGCACACGGCCAGGACAGATGTCGGGTGTCCCAAAGTGTCTCAAAGTGAAGCAAAAAGTGTCTCAAAATTTTTGTATTTGCTCTGGTCCGTCTTTTATAGCCAAATACAGCTATGAGAGGGAAGAAAAATTGTTTGTCAATTTTTGACAGGGTACAGTTTCAAGGGGAGGAGGAATTTGAAAAATCTCAGACATATTTTGGTAGCTTAGGATCTGCGCTTTCTGCTGATATAAGTCAGATTTTGATACCTAAAACGCAAGGGTACAAAATAGCTTTTGAAGGTGGTACACTCATTTAAGCAATAAATTTGCCTTAAAAGTATCATTTTACCATATTTGCCAATTATTTTGATATGGTTTGAATCGCCATGTTTTTGTGCATCGAATGATGTATAGTGTAATCTGATTCCATCATTAGTTTGATTTTTAGGGAGAGAAAACCAAATATCGTGTCAAAAACGTTTACCCTAACCTTAATAGGAAAACAGCGTATCCTAAAACGTTTCAAAAAACAGATTCATTCACTTCTTTTGCGACCCCTTTTTCGAGGTTAGAAGATTTTCTTCTCTTCTTCCGGCATAAAAAATCAATAAACTGGATTAACAAATAAATCAGCTCAAATACAGAAAAAATTGATGCACCAATCCATATTCCCATCTGGCCTCCGATTTCTCCGACGAATCTTCCAGTAGTATACATTTTAAGTTCAGTTATTTTCTCATACTCCATATCACCAAAAAAGACGCTGATTACAACGGTGTGCTTATGGATCCTTGGGTCCTCTGATGTCATCTTTGCAGTTGATGAATACTTGCGAAATTTCGTTTCTGTACACGGTAGCTCGCAGTTGCAGGAGGCATAATTCGATTCAATGAGCTTTTTAGTAACTTTCAAAGAGCATGAATCTTCGCTTTGATTTCTTGATAGTTGCTTTCTCATCGCTTTTGGTAAAAGGTGGCTATGCCAAGCGAAGATATAAGAACATCTTTGTGAAACTTGGCTAAGGAGGCAAGACAATCTGCAGTTGCTAACTGTATAATCACCTTTGAAAAGCAGCTTCATGTTTTCGCCATTTGTGCATTTTGATGGGTAAGGAGGTTTAAGCCTCGTAATCTCGGTCTTTTTCATTTCAATAAAAGTCTGATGGCCGATTGGAGCAAGAATTCTCCCAGAATCCAGAGACGGAAATTGTTTGTGATCTTGTATGAGAACATGAACGGCGTCTGTTGGAGAGGTATTAAATTGTACTCCATTTGATAAATTTACAAATAAAATAATATCGAAGGTGAACCCAAGATTAACCGATTTTTGTATGGCAGTTCCATTC